TACAATCTTAGAATTTAAAAGATCATGTATCACATGTTGGAGGCATGGAAACAAATGATTCGGATGAATTCATTGTGAACATTTGAAAGTTGAAGAACTATTAATAGAATTTATAATAATTTCTTTAATTTTTTTCGTAAAAAGTATTCCTGCAGAATTTCTTGCAAAAAAAATTGCAGGAAACTTTCTTGCGAATTTTCCTGAGAAATTTTTTTGCAAGAAACTTTCCTGCAAATTTTTTTTTACAGAAAACTTTCCTACGAATTTTTTTTGCAAGAAATTTCGCAGGAAAATCTCCTGCGAATTTTAAAATTCGTAGAAATATATTATCCACAAAGGTATTACCTATAGATAATAAAAATATCCTTTTAAGGAAATTGGGGTGTTACATCCTCCAGCATTATCATAATTCAATCCACCTGCATTCGTACACCAAAACTAACTACAAAAGAAAGAGGAATGAGAAACATCTCAATTCAACTATCAATGCAAGTTGTTAATGGGTAGTCATACACATACAACAATAATTATGCATATATAACAACAATATTGTAGCTCACAGTTTATACATTCTTAATTCGCTATTAATCAAGGTACAACCAATGACGTGCGTATATTTCAAGATACAACGATGTTCAAACAATACATATCATCATTCATCACATTCATAATTCACAAGTAATTAAAAATGTTACAATCATGTAATGGGCAAGACTCCCTGATTTATACACATGTGGTGCCAATAAAATCGCATATCCTGACCTAAAGGCATGAGTAGCTTAGGACATCATGCTAGGTCACAACCCTTATGGCATTCTATATTGGGTGGACATACACCAATGGCGCATTTGGACAATCGTGTCTCACAAATTCCACCACATGTGCACAAACAGGTGAGAATGGGGCTCCCAAATCCAATTGTCCCTTAGGTCATAAACCTCCAAGCTTTTACACAAAGTGAACCTTCCCTAGTAATAACATATTTAGCATCGTATCCATCATAAAACACATTATGCACATAATGCATGTTCATATCAACCATGTTCACAATTCTTAATTCACAATGACTACATCTTTGTTAGGCAATTCATCCAAACTTTCACACTGCTAAGTTAGACTTAAACTTGATCACATGATTACTCGCACATTTGTCACATAACACATATCTCATGATTTAAAGGTTTCACAGAAGCAACACACATGTTCTTATATTACCATTTTTCCACATTACCATCTTAAGCACACATACTTCACTTATCGTAATCAACTAGTTCATATGGTTCACTTATCTTAAAGTCATTCACGTTCACTAATTAATTACATGCAACTTAATTTGCAGGCAAAAGATAACGCTCAATGTGGGGTGCCTTGCGTCAACACAATCAAGGCCAAGAGCACTTTGTGCTTTATAGGGGAATCACATCCAACGCAACCATTCCCACACCCGATGAATTTCGCAATAAGGAGCCCTTGGAGCTCTTACACCCAATGTAACCATGTTCATGCCCAAAATTAATATCACTACGAACACTTTATGGCTCTCATGCTTAGTGTGGTCCATCTTGTGCTCGACATGATTGTCATAGAGAGCCCTCAGTCACTTCGCTCTCGATGGCCCCATGTGGCGCTTGATGTTGTATCAGTAAGGATTTTCTGCATAATGTACAAATTACAAATGATACAACCTACAAATGTGACTCTACGAAATTATGTGATATTATGAGATCTACAACATAATTATTTTATTTTACTTTGTAGGCTTCCTATTCACCTTTATTTCTTTGTTAATTTGTTTTGTATTAATTCTTAAGGTTCTTCCAATAACTTACAAGTACTCATAGGTTCATAATTATAAACAATCTCACATATTAGAAACACAATTATAATATAATATCACAATTAGAATGTGAGGGAATTAACATATACCATAAATTTACTGTCACAATCAAAATTGGGTTTACCTTCTCAAGCATCACACACAGACAAATGACGGGGGCCAATCACACACAGACTCAAAATGAGATTCTTATTCCCCCTTACCTTGATAGATGTCAAACTCCACATGTGTATCCTCAAGGTCGTCTCCAACTATCTCTAGTTCTCTTTATTCTTCAAATACACGAGCGCACATTAATTTATAAAGTGAGACAACCTAACTTTACTAATATATTTATACAAGGAAATACTAAATCATATCCCGCATATAATCTATTAATAAAAGTTTGTTATCTCACCGTTTATTATTATCCTTCTCTAAAAATTTAAATAATTATCTATAATAATTATTTTTCAAAAATATTAATTTTTTTATCAATAACTTTTGTTATCAAAATAATTCCAATTAATTAAATTAATGTATATTTATTAATTTATTTAGAAAAAATTATGATATTACAAATATGGTGAAAAAAAAAAGTTAAAAATCTTGATTTTGGAATTAAAACTTAATCTTCAAAGACCAAACCAACCCATTAAACGTGATGCAAATTTGATTTTACCCTAAACTTTAAACCAAACCTTCAACACCCCTAATTCCATGAAATGGGTGTGCAAAATCATTAAAGGCAAACATCATAAACCTTGTTTATAATGAAACACACCAAATACCGAGACTTAATAGTGTTGGAATTTCAATAACCATGTAATACACGAGTATATACATGCATCGGTACATGTATTATACAAATATAAATATAAACATGTAAATAAATATAAATGAAAAATAATAAACAATTTTTTTTATATATATTCTCTTTAATCCTTTATATATAAAAATAACTAATCCATCAAAATCAATAAAAATATTTACGATAGTTAATTTTTATTAATATCACAGAAATAAATTTTATTTTAAAAATATTTTTTGAATTAATTAATTTAAACAGTTGATACATTAAATAATAAGAACTGATCCAACGGATGCTGGGATGATTAAAGATACAATTTCTTTTACCGATAAATATAATTTATATTATTAATAGATTAATAAATATATCCACTTATATCAGGGTATAGAAGTAATTTTCAATTAATACACTTAAAGTAAATATTTGTATATATTCATACATCTATGTATGTACTCATGTTCCATGTCAAAATATTATCATTAATCTAACATCGAGCCTAGTCTTTCTCCATTCTATCTTGAACAAATTGTTTCCGATAAGATTAAGATGCAATCTCAATACTGTTAGAAAACATTATGAACCCAGTAACTCACATATGTTTTATTAATTTTTTTGTTTATAATACGAATATCTCTTAATCAATGATTGGAGATCAATTTCTTCAAGCCTAAAGAGCACCAGAATAAACGTTTACATACACTTGATCAAGAATAAGATCTTTACAACATACTTTACAAAAAAAAAAAAAAAAACTCAATTATTTATAGATTATATATAAGTTAACCTCTAAAAATGTATTAAAAATATATTTGCATTCATAAAACTTTTTTCGCGATGGTGTACTTAACACTTTCGACTTCTGTATTAAAATAATATTTAATAAATAAATATGATGTATACATATGTTGGTGATTATGTCAGTAAAAAAAAATTATTTATATTAATATAATGCATCATCTACCCATAAAAATAAAATATAATACATGTATCGATGATGCATGTATCATAGTTCCGTTTCCCAAGTGCTCTCAGTTAACGCCGACCTGGGCCCCTGAGACTCACTGTCTGGGAAACGCGAAAACGTCAATGGCAATGGCAGCTGCTCATACCACTCACTTCACACTTCGCAGCGCCAAACCCTAGCTTCTGAGTTGTACAGATTCTTATCTCGCGTTTCGCTCCCTCAAATCCGATCCTGTTCCTCTTCAATTTCGCTCATGTTGACATTTATCGTCGGAATTTGCAGAATCTGAAGAACGACAATCCTCTCCTCTCTCTCCCTCTCTAAGTTCCTCTCATTTTGCTGCAATCGGTATTCTTCTAATCCTGCATTTCGCATTGAGAATTCAGGAATGATCGTATGTGTTGAATCGCTTTTACTTCTATTTTTATTTTTCATTGCATGTCGTTTTCTTTGGAACTTCATATCTGTACACGGAATTTCGTTGTCAGTTATCATTTTGCTTTTAGGAGTTTGGCCATGGTGATGACTGATAAGATAAGAGTCCGCATTTTTTTTTTTTGAAATATTTTATTTTCCCTTTCTTATATTTCTTCCAATGCTTGCTATGGCTGACTTGTTTTGAGTGAACAGTTCTCTCGGATGACTTTACTGTCTGACACGTGGATCGTTGTTTAGAGACAATTTCAGTTTCCGGACAACGAGACGCTGGTTTCTTGTTCATTACGCCATGGCTGAATGATTGGAAGTGTCTAAGGGTATATAAAAATTAGAAAAGAAAAAAGAGATGTCTCTTTGCTTCCATTCTTGGATCGTCTGCTGAATTTATAACATCCGTGTGAACTTTGAGAACTCTTCATTTTATTATGTTTTGGGGCTTGCTAACTAGTGCCCTTAAATTAGTGGTTAAGGACTCCATTACAAAATCAGTATGTAGAAGGTTTTTATTGAAAACTAGATAAAAGTTACATGGGAGAGAGTATGTTATATTTTTTAATAAAAAATTTCTACTTTTGATTCCTCAACCAATGCTCTTAACCATGACACTGATTAGCATTTTCCTTATGTTTTTCTTATTTTGATTGTAAGTTGTTTACCTGTTTATTGACTTTGGTTTTAGGATGCATATGTTCATGCTTTATTTTTTCTTCCCTAAATTATTCGATTCCATAGTTCAAGGCAAATTCTGATTTCTAAAATAGCAGTGAAGGATATTTGAATGTACTGGCTACCAAGTTTTTAAATTGCGGTAGTGGTTGTGATTTTGTTGCGATCCTTGATATTACTGGAAATTGTGGCCACAATTGCGGTCACATGTGGTTGCAGACACAGACACCCCAAAAACCTTGACGTTGTAGTTGAATTGAAATTGCAAATGTGGACCATTTTCTCAAAACCTTGCTTGCTGCTTTGTGATGATATTTATTGGAAGTAATCTGTAAAACAACATAACTGCTAGCACTAACAGTCTGACGTTAATTTTTATCTTTCAGGTGCCATAATATTAATTCTTGCAGATACCGTAATGGCTCACTGCTATAACAAGGATAATGACACAAGTGCATCTCAATTAAGTTGGTGGTATGTAGATATATCTTACCAAGAACTTAAAAAGGGAAGTTACAAAGTGAAAAGCTCAGATGATACTTTCATTTGTCCATACTGTCCTGAGAGAAAACAAGATTATAAGTACAGGGAACTCCTTAATCATGCTTCTGGAGTTGGTCGGAGTAGTTCAGAAAAGAGAACTGCAAAAGAAAAGGCTAATCATCTGGCCTTAGTGAAATATTTGGAAAAGGATCTCGCGCATATGGATGGCCCATCAAAACCTGTAGATAAAGGTCTTCCTGTTAATGAAGTTACTATAACAAAATTTCAGTCCAAAATTATTTTCTTGTTACTTATGCTGAAACTTGCCAATTCACGAGGATATTTAATGGAATAATCTGACAAAGTAACACGACAACAGTCAGCACTAACATTATTCTTTTTTGTCTTTCAGGTGCCAAATTAAGCCTAGGAGAAACAGCAATGACTCACGGCTCTAATAAGGATACTGATATAAGTGCATCTCAAATAAGTTGGTGGTATGTAGATGCATCTTATGAAGAACTCAAAAGTGGAAGTCACAATGTGAAAACCTCAGATGTGACTTTCATCTGTCCATACTGCCCTAGGAGAAAACAGGATTATTTGTACAGGGAACTCCTAGAACATGCTTATATGGTGGGTCGGAGTAGTTCTGAAAAGAGAAGTGCCAGAGAGAGGGCCAATCATCTCGCTTTAGTGAAATATTTGGAAAAAGATCTTACTGTTATGGATGGCCCATCAAAACCTCTAGACAAAGGTGATTCTCCTGTTAATGAAGTGGCTATAACAAAATATCAGTTCATGATTCTTTTTTTTATTCCGAAGTTACTGAATATGTAGAAACTTACCAATTCACAATTATATTTAAGGAAATAATGAAAATATAAACAAAGCAACATGGCAGTAGCCAGTACTAACACCAATTTTTTTGTCTTTCAGGTACCAAAGTATTAAGCCTAGGACAAACTGTAATGCCTCAATGCTCTAAAAAGGAGACTGATATGAGCGCATCTCAAATAAATTGGTGGTATGTAGATAAATTTTACAAAGAACTCAAAAACAGAAATCACATTGTGCAAACTTCAGATGAGACTTTGTCCTGTCCATACTGCCCTAAAATGAAAAAACAGGATTATGTGTACCGGGAACTTCTTGAACATGCTTCTGGGGTGGGTCAGAGTAGTTCACAAAAGAGAAGTGTCAGAGAGAAGGCCACTCATCTGGCACTAATGAAATATTTGAAAAATGATCTTATGCATATGAATTGTTCATCAAAGTCTGTAAATGAAGGTAACCCTCCTGTTAACATGGTGGGTCAAAGTAGTTCACAAGACAGAACTGCCAAAGAAGACACAACTCATTTGGCTTTAGCAAAATACTTGAAAAAGGATCTTACTAATGTGAGTGCTCCATCAAAACCTGTATATGAAGGTGATCCCTCTGTCATTAATGAAGTGATTGTTATTGATTATGCTGTGATTGGTTAATTCAATTCACTATGATATATAATGGAAGTAGTCTGTGAAGTGACACTTTTTTTTATATCAAAATTAAATATCTGCAAAGAAACATGACGGCAGTCAGTTCTAACACTGTTTTTGTCTTTCAGGAACCATAATAGTAAGGCCAAGAGAAACTGTATCTGGTTGCTGCTCTAGCAAAGATAGCAATATAAGTTCATCTCAATTTGGGTCGTATGTAGATAAATCTTATGAAGAACTCAAAAAGGGAAGTCACAATGTGAAAACCACTGATGAGACTTTCACATGTCCATACTGCCCTAATAAAAAGATAAAACGGGATTATGTGTACAGGGAAATCCTTGAACATGCTTCTGGGGTGGGTCACAGTAGCTCACAGAAAAGAAGTCTCATTGAAAAGGCTAATCATCTGGCTTTAGTAAAATATTTGAAAAAGGATCTTATGAATGTGAGTGCTCCATGTCCATCAAAACCTATGGATCAAGGTGACCCCCCTGTAATGAAACAATTATAACATAGTTTCTGTTTCTTTTTCCCTGTTACTGAATATGCAGAAATTGGCCAATTCACAAAGATACTTGATAGAACTAATCTATAAAGCAACATGACAACAGATGTTGCTAACACTAATTTTTGTGTTTCAGGCACCATCACAATAAGGCCAGGAGAAACAATGGGTCACTTCTCTCATAAAGATACTAATATAAGGGAATCTCAAATAAGTTGGTGGTATGTAGATAAAACCTATGAAGCACTGAAAAAGGGAAGTCACAATGTGAAAACCTCAGAGAAGACTTATTCATGTCCATATTGCCCTAATAAAAAGAGAAAACGAGATTATGTTTACAGGGAAATTCTTGAACATGCTTCCGGGGTTGGTCAGAGTAGTTCACAAAAGAGAAGTGCCTTTGAAAAGGCTAATCATCTGGCTTTAATGAAATATTTGGAAAAGGATCTTATGATCATAGATAGTCCACCAAAAACTGCAGATGAAGGCAGTCCTCCTTTCAATTCTGAGAAACAGTTTGTGTGGCCATGGACTGGGATTGTAGTTAATATTCCTACTAGACAAACAGAAGATGGACGATTTGTTGGGGAAAGTGGTTCCAAGCTAAGGGATGAATACCGAAGTAGGGGATTTAATCCACGTAGAGTCCGCACTCTTACAAATTTTTGGGGTCACTCTGGAACTGCCGTTGTGGAATTCAATAAAAATTGGACAGGATTAGATAGTGCTTTGGCATTTGAAAGAGCATATGAATTAGATCATCATGGGAAAAAAGACTGGTTTGCTAATACTTGGCAGAAGTCCGGTATTTATGCATGGGTTGCTCAAGCTGATGACTACAAGATGAACAATATCATTGGGGAACGATTGCGGAAAATGGGGGATATCAGAACAATACCTGAACTTATGGAAGATGAAGCTCGGAAGCATGATATACTTGTGTCCAGTTTGAATAATTCTCTTCAAGTCAAGAAGAAACAATTAAAGGAGGTGGAAGAAAAATACAATGAGTCTTCATGCCGCATGGACATTGTAATGGGAGAAGTAGATAAGCTCACTCAAAATCACAATCAAGGTATTTATTATTGTTGAATCTAAGTTGCTTCTTTCTCTAATTTGGATCATGACTTGTTGGTTGTTTGTTTTTGTTTTATTTTTCAGTCATAAAGGCCCAAATCTATGATGAAATCACTAATTTGTTTACATCAGTACAACTGTCGAGTGCTAGTTTATAGATCACTGGATGGAATATGATTTTAATAACTCTTTTGGTAGAATCAAAGTCCATAAACCACAACCTGCTGTTGCATTCGAAGTGGTTACACTGTAGAATTTATCTATGTAAAAATAATTGGTTTGCAAATGGTCTGCTAGATTTTGGACAACTCATTTATGATATTTCATTGTTTTTAAATGATGCTGAACTATTTTAGTGATATTGAATTATGTCATGATTGCTTGTATTCAGAGATGAAGAAGATACATTCAAGTGCAACTCAACACTTTCAGAATATTTTTAATGGTCATGAAAGGCTCAAGTTACAACTGGAATCTCAAAAAAGAGAACTTGAGTTGCGGAGAATTGAATTGGAAAAACGTGAGGCACGTAATGAAAGTGAAAGAAAAAAGTTGGAAGATGAGATGATGGAGGTGTGGTGTTTTTCTTCTTATTGTTGAATTTCTTCTACCATGCTGTGATTGAGATGCTTGTGAAATGAAAATTGAAGGAAATATTATTTAGATGTTTTAGTTATTTCACTAGAGGAGTTGGCAATCAAGGTTTAACAAATTTTCCACTTTTACTTAGTTTGATAATCACTTGATCATTGGAAATCATTTGCAGTTGACCTTGTGGAGAACTAAGCCCAAGAAATTGGAAATATAATCAAATTGGTTTCTATTATAGTAGGCAGTCATAAATTCAGTTGACCTTGTGGAAAACATTTTCGCTTTGAAAAATTCTTTCTATTTTTTGCCTGTCATAAATGGACTGCATGAGATGGTTTCTGTCAATGAATATTGTAAATTTCTTCAAGTGTGTCCCTCTTTACTTGTTTCTTTGTCTTTTTGTTAGTTAAGATGTTGAATGTACTTTATTCTAAGGTGGATGTCAATAATAATAATATGAACACCATTGAGTTGTCATATGTTAAGGAGTATAGATGAAATTTAGGAAACGGAGGGCAAAAATAAAAGCCATCAATTTAGAATTGTATGTCCAAGAATTTCACTGGAATTTTTTTATTCTATTTTTTTTTTTCTCTCCAGGTAAGGATCTTACCGTGGAAACAAGAAGTTTGGCATTATCTTTTTTTTTTTGTGTGTGTGTTTTTGAAATCCTTTAATAATGATGTAGATTAGATTTTTTGTAGGATGTTATGTTTAGTAATGTTGATGTCTATTGTCTTTCCAGAATGCATTGAGAAACAGCTCTCTGGAAATGGCTATTCTGGAGCAACATAAAGCCGGTGAAAATGTTTTGAAACTAGCTGCAGATCAAAAGGTTTGTGTTGCCTGTTTTTGTGTTTTTTAATGGCTAAAAGTATCATTTTCCACATTAGAATAACTGGTTGTTAATGTTATCTGACAATCTATTCATCCAGCGGCAAAAAGAACAACTCCATGCTAAAATCATCCAGCTTGAAAAACAACTGGATGTTAAACAAAATCTAGAATTGGAGATTCAACAACTGAAAGGAAAATTAAATTTCATGAACCACATGGAAGGTGATGGAGACTCGGAAGTTCTGAATAAGGTGGATGTTATACATAAGGTATTAAGAGAAAAGGAACAATCGCTACGAGATTTAGATGCCTTGAACCAAACACTGATTATAAAAGAGCGTCAGAGCAATGATGAGCTACAGGAAGCTCGAAAAGCATTGATTAATGTAAGTGTGTTTTTCTAACCAAATATATCTTCTATTCTCATAGTGATGATTTTGTAAGAACATTTCATTGAATTCACTCATATTTGAATTATTGGTTGTCTGTAGAATATGCTCCAGCCATGTCTTAAATGATGATTTTTCTTGTCCATTTAAATATTTGTAAAAAGGGACATGATATTAATTTATTGATAAAACTTCAGTGCATATCACACAATGGCAGTAAAATAAAATTGCTCTGATGTACAGTGTTATAAACTTTCATTTGTGCAGAGCAAGATAGCATTGTGAATGATTCAAGTAAAATATAGACCTCATCATGGTTTCTTTAACATCTAATTGACAATCTGACTATTACCCAACAAATATCTGATGTATGAGTCAATGTGATTATGCTTATGCAGAAGAGACCTATAAGTGTGGTGAATAATGGTGTCTTTTAAGAGAGTTGCTATGGTGTACCCAGATAAATCTTAAGGGTTTTGTTACAATCTTTTTTGGGCAAATAGTTGAATTAGTTTGAATACTAAGAAAGAGAATGTTTCTCAATAACAGTACTAAAACCCTTATTCTGAGGATACCATAGAATTTCTTGTCTTTTAAACCATAGTTTCCAAATTTGCTCAGCTCCCCTTCAAACCAAAAATTGGGACATTTGACCCAGTTCACAGTTCATTTTCAAACCAGTTTGCTGCCGTTTGTGTATCAAGATGCAACTACTGAAGTACTGATATTCCAAAGCACAAGCACACTGTTGTCTGAAGGCTCTTGATATTCAAACATCATAACAAGACACATGGTGCTTCCGGCAGCACAGCATGGTATTGGGATGTTGAATTAAGGGGGGGAGGGAGAGAGATAGAAAATAATCTAGAGAATTTAGTTGCGAAACAACTTTCTTATTCAAGAGAATGTAATAGGTTCTACATGTCATTCATATATAGACTTAGTGAAGGCTATTTCTAGAATTATAATACGTGATGTTACTCCCAATACACTAATTCCCATTAACATTAAATGCATTTAAATGTGAGAGGCATTAACATACTATTTTTTAGGTACATAAAATGCCATTATTTGCAACATGAGACATAAGGTGTAAGCCATGCAACCATAGAAAGAAACAGAGGAGAGAGAAAGCGGTAGGGTTCTCCTTACTTTGTTGATTTCATGAAGGAGAAAATGACTATTATTTCTTAAATTTCAAACATATATGTATGCATAAATGTAATTCTTTTAAATGTTTTGGGAAAATTTTTATTAAGATCATATTAATTAATATTTCAAAAGTAATACGAAAAACCCAAATAGCATATGAACTATGTATACCTCCCCTTCCCACATACCGTACAATAGGGGTGGCCTCCCTTTCCCATATATTATACTTTTGTTGTAGGTACCGTCTATCGTGTACAGGTACCTGTGGTCCTGTACCGAATAATATGGTGAACCGGGTAAAATGTTTAAACTGAGATGGTGTGGGTATATTCAATACTCATTTGTTACAGACTTTGTACTTGTAGCTCTGTGATTTTATGCTTTGAATTTTTTTTTTTTTTCAAACCTTAATGGAATTTTATCTGTTGCAGGGCATTAAAGAGATATCTTGTCGTGCTAATGTCGGTGTGAAGAGAATGGGGGAGCTTGATATTAGACCATTCCTTGAAGCTATGAAGGAAAAATATAATGATGAGGATGCAGAAGATAGAGCTTCAGAACTGTGTTCGCTGTGGGAAGAGTATATTAAGGATCCAGACTGGCATCCATATAAAATTACTATAATTGAAGGGAAACATCAGGTGTGCCTTACTTAAGCTTATACATACCACTATTAAGTCTAAATGAAATCTGGCCTTTTCTGTTGTAAGTTGCATCTTTCTGTATGTTGTTTTGTTGTCTGAAGATAATGAATTTCCTTGAAGGATACTTAGCTAGAAACAGGGAGATTAAGAAGCTTAATCCATGTACCTTTGATACTAAATAATTGGTTAGAACTATTTGGCCTCTGAAACATGTATTTCTTTCAACTTGTGTTATCTGAAGAGCATTTTATTTTTATTATTTCACTTTCAAATCCATGTTTTGCAGAAGTATATAGATGTTTTTGGTCTGATTGATTTTACCTACCTACCTACTACATCCATATATGAACTTTGATTGACCTCAAAATTGGAAGAAAAATAGTACCGAATGTCATTGCTATATTAACAATTGTGATCCGCATGTAGATCGTATAATGGTTTCAGATGATTAATTTTAGAACTAAGATACACTTTGTATGTTTAGGGAAGTTGAGTAGGATTTGTATTAAATGAGGTCATAATGTGGTTGGAACTGGGCATCTCTAACTTCATAAGTGGGTTTGGTTAAAACATGACCAGCAGGGATCTCCAGTTTCTATTCGTCTCTGCATGGCCAACTTGTTTGGCTCATTCCACTAGTTTGGGACGATATATTTTCAATATATGTATTTGGTCTACACAATGGTTTTCATATTCATTTTAATCTAAAATTTATTGCACTAGTTCTCTAATATATGTTTTTCAAACTTGTCTGGCTTCATGTTTTTTTCAACTCAGGAAATCATAGATGATGGAGATGAAAAGTTGAAAGGACTGAAAAATGAGATGGGTGAAGCAGTCTACAAAGCTGTGGTGACAGCTTTGACGGAGATAAATACATATAATCCAAGTGGGCGGTATATAACCACTGAATTGTGGAATTATGAAGAGGGAAAGACAGCTACCTTACAAGAAGGAGTAAAATTGTTATTGATGCAATGGAATCTACATAAACAAAGACGGGGGACGATGTGAAGACTGGTATGAATCTAATTTAAGACAGTACAATTTTCTTTAGAACTATACACTTTTAGAAAGAAAAAGATTTTACTCGTGTGATTTTGTTACTGATAAAGAATTGAAGACTAATCACCGAGGGTGCAGGCTGCATCTTTTCTTAGAATATAGCTAGATAATTTAGAAAGTTTTGATTTTTTTTCTCCTACCTACTTGATTGCTGCTTCAATGTTACCACGGAATAAAATGCTGACGGGTTGATTTGGTTACAGAAATAAACATGTTGCTTTCCAAGAGCTAATTGTGCTTTGATGCCAAGCTGCAACATCTAAGGGCTGTGAATATTTTTTTAGGAATACAGGTTTATTTAAACTCATTTAGTTAAAATTATTGAAATTGTATTTAAACTCGGATTTATCTGATTACGAAACTGTATTTATAACAATTATGCTTGTTGTTTAGGTCAAGTTCCATCTTATACCTAAACTTCCAGTTTGGGTCCCTGAAATTGTGAAAACATTCAATGTAAAGAGTTGAGAAATCATTAAAAAAAAAAAAAAAAAAGGCTATTAAGGTAGGCTACAAGTTATTTTATTATTATTTTTTCCTTCTAAATTTGCAACAGAATCTGAGCCATATCCCAACACAGCATATTGATATTGATTTCGGTCTCTTTCTGCATGTTTCATCATATTTGATAAACATCATATTCGATAAACAATCTGTCATAGTATTTTCTGTTAACTTTGTTCCTTGTCTTTGATTGCAAGATTTTAAAATTAAGAAGTTTTAGGCAAGTAGCATTTTATGTTACTTCATTGAAATTATTGATGAATTTATACCCTTTTATTTTTCCTCACTATACGTCTCTTCAGTTTAGGAAAAAACTATTCAATTTTGGGATGTGATTTTGAACATTTTGTTTACTGGTTCAAGACATGAAACATGTTTATAAAAATGTAAATATCATAAATAATCAGAAAATCAAAAACTTTAATATTAGATTTTTTTTTTTTGGGTTAATTTAGCCTGTGGTAATCATTTTTTACATGTGTTTTTTTTTTCATAAGGTCAAGACACGTGACGAAAGGTTACTAAAAAGTAAATAAAGTAATAATGAAAAGAGATTAAAAATGAAAATTAGGAGCCATGTCATGTCAAAATTCTAGTGGAACAACTTTATTATTATAATAACATTCCTTTAATCCATATTTCAAGTATTTTAAATAGAAAAAAGTTTAGTATTTTTTTTGTAAAGGTTTAGTAAATTTAATATAATTAAACTAATAATTGAGGAAAAAATATTTTTTATAATAAAAATACTGGCGTATTGCCCAACACTACGAAGTGTGATTTACGTTTTTCCAACTAATTAAAAATGAGTAATAATTATATACTCTAGCTTAATAATAGCTTTTAAAAACGTTCTCATATATAATGTAGGAGCAATACATTTTTTAATATACCCTTCCTATTAAATTCTTAAAAAAATTTATTAGTTATAATTTATTGGAAAAGACGATAAAATTTGATAAATAACAAGTGGGATCTACATAATTTTAGAATTTTAATATAAAAAAAGGGATCATGTTTAGAAGAAATATGTTCCTACCATTTTTCTTATTAATATAAAAAGTGAAAAATCGCATGTGTGGCATATATATGAACCGTGCACCCATATCCATGTCACATTGATAACTATGAGAAGATAATACGCTTGACATGGATTCAATTTCAATGAAGCATGCAGCCAAGTGAAATTAATGTTCGAAAAAAAAATTTCATTGCGATTTGAGAAAATAAGGAGTGACCATAACATGTAAAGTCAATTTAAATTTGAGAGCATATGAAAGGAAAATGATAAAATAAGGGTATACCAAATTAGTTTTAAATTGTACGCAGTTTTATTCATAGACGTGTTTGGTGACATGTAAGCATGTCGCTCTTTTTTTTTTAGAAAAACAAGAAAAAATATTATCTACCTTGTTATTCTAAGTTGAATTATGAGTTTGGCCTAATTATCAATGATTAATATATTTAAGAAGCTAATCAACTTAAAATGTGACCTTGAACCAATTAAATATTTAAGAAGCGTCGCAAAACTAGAATGTGTGTGGAAGTGCAGTTTGAAAATCTTACTAGCTCGGGACCTGATAATGACAAGTGTGCGAGCGTCAGCCTGCCACGTGGATCACTCACAGTATCGCTGTTCTGTCTGGAAAATCAGCATACGTTTTTCTACTTCTTAACGAACGGCTATCACAGTTTACTCTTCTTGATTTAAATCTTGTGTTAAAAAGAGAAAAGAAAAAGAAAACACTGCCACACCCACAATCAGTTCTTAAACTCAAACTTGTCTATATCTTTACATATTTGAGCTTCTTATGAGTTTTACTTTTACTGTGCCTCTTTCCATCTCAATTCTCAACCCCTCAAGCCCGTGTATTTATTAGAGTGAAATTCTACATTATTCCAACCAAAAACAATGACTATAGTCCACTTTTAATTAGCCAAACGAGAATAGAACATATAATCGTTTTATAATCCATGGTACTTTTAATTTTTGCATCGGAGAAGTGAGGAAAAACAACACGGAAGGTATAGAATCTACTTTGCTACCAATTTATGTAGAGGAAAATACGGTCCATTAGCACCTATTTGCATAATTCTCATTTCCTCCTTTATCTTTTCGGCGCAGCCAAGCGTGCTTAACAGCTCAAGTTAAGAACATGCATGCATCAAACACTCTTTATCACTTTAATAAATCATAGTTTATGGTAAAAGGCAATAAAGTAATGACTCAATGAGTCCGTAATACCAACCTTAACTAACTAAATTGACATCAAACACGTGAACAAGAAAAACTATAAAGATCGACGAAGAACAAGATAAACATACTTGATCTTTTCATACTATATAAATATATAAGAAACATAGCTGCGGGCTCATGCATTTGAAGCCACTTCAGCCCCTTCCCTCCATTTTTCTCGAATCCTACTATAAAACTTCAAACTCGTATACCAAGACAATGACAATTTCACATTCAAGACAAGACAAAGAAGAAAAAAGTCAAAAAAGTTCACTAATCACTAACACCACTTACTTAACTTTCTCTCCAATTTTTTTCCCTTATATCCACATCCCAAGGTAAATTCAAAACTACATAGAGGTGATCCTTTTTTCTTTCGAGAAAAAGGAACGAAGAAACATGATTAGACCCTGAAATTTTTGCCGGTGAAGGTTTGTCCAAATTGCCAACTGGCGGGAACAATGTTCCAGGAGGTGGAGGTGCGTCGGTCACTGGCTGTGACCCTGAAGGAAAGTGACTGACCAACCAGAACAGCGTTTGACTGCCAGTTCTGACCCCAGTTCCGGCTCATGCTCATCCACCCAGTCTTTGACCCTTTCACGCTCGTCCTCACGATATCCCCTGCACCCGCCACGTTCGTGATCAAAACCAAGTTGAAGTAACGGAAGCCGTTGATCGTGAACCTTATCCCTCCCTGCTTCCGGCAAGGTACCCTGCACGTCACCAAGGGCATTATAATTCGTAATATAAAAAAATTAAATAAAAAAAGAAGCACTTATAAAAATTTTGGTTGGCTTAGAGAATCGTGCAATTACGCTGCAAAAGTTGCACGTTTGTCAAAATCCTGAACCGGTTTCAGATGAAGGGTTTAGGTTCACTTTCTATCTCAAGCTAGGGACCCACAAAAACGATTCCCCAAAATCAAAATGAAACATCAACCGTTCTCATCAGTTTTCACTTTCACTTTTCCCCAATTACGAATCACATACTACTACTACACAGTCTACTCTCTACTGTCTAGTCCCCAACACAGCGCAAGAATCTCAGAACACTTTGTCGTGCTAAACGACGTCGTACTTCTGATTACGTGCTTTTCTTGTACTTCGAGAGGGCCAAAAGCCAAACAAGCGCCTTCTTGTTTTCTTCTTTCTATTATTCTAAATTTATTTTAATAAAATAACAAAACATCAAAATCCCCCTTAATTTGTTTTCTAACCTCTAAACAATAATAATGCCGAAAACCATAGCTTCCGAAATGCGAGCAATTCTGAACCATTCTTGAGAAAACATTTCACAAGTTTAAAAATTGATGCTTTAAATGGGTGGAAATTGAGAAGGGTAGGGTACCTGCGGTAAGAAACAGGGACGATGCCGGCGCGGTACTGTGCTATTTTGAGGAACATGGGCATGGCGAGGTCGAAGTGGGGTCTGGGAGGGTTGCACCAGCCTCCATTGTCGCTGGGGAGAGCGTAGTTTGGAGGGCAGAAGTTGGTGGCGGTTATCAGTATCGAGGGGCTGCCGGCGTGGCACCAGCTGGGGTCGTCGGCGCACTTTATCTCGAAGCACGCACCGCAGCTCAGCCCGTTGTTGAAGAGCGCCGTGCTGAGCGCCGCCGTGTTGACGCCATAGCCCTGGCTGTAGAGGTTCCCGTAGCCGCAGGCGCCTCCCATTGTCCCCGAGGCGTCGCTCCCCCCGTAGAACGTGGCGTGCGCGCTCTCCCACGCGCCGCCGCTGTAGACTCCCGGGATTCTCCCCTCCGAAGGAGTGAGGAGGGTTATGAAAGCAATGGCGATGAGGGAAAGTGCGAGCGAAGGCATTGGTGAGTGTGGAAAGAGAAGGGTTTGTGTTCTGAGTTCTGAGTTCTGAGTTCTGAGTTCTGAGTTCTGACTCCTGAGGAGGGAAGGGAGAAAGGTGCGTTGGTATTTAAGGAGAGAGTGGCGGGGAAAAGTGGGCCCCACTTGGATCCATGTTATTATCACCGTTCATTTACGCCTCTTGCTAATCAAAAAATTATCTTATATTAATTTATGACCCAAGGGGTAGTGACAGTGTAGTGTGGTGATGAGTGTAGGGGACAAAAGAGGTTAGGACCTCAACCTTCATATCAAATCTCTTTGCTTCATTCGCAAGTTGTGACATCTTTTTTCTGTTTTTGGATTGTGGGTTCTTCTTTATGCTAATACTTACTGTGCTTGTATCCATATTTCAATTTTCAACTTTGGTGTGTAATGCTTGGACTCGAGTCAAAAGTTACCGCCATCCAATAGTGTGGTGCGTTACGTTGGATGATCAATGGCTTTGCAATGTGAATATAGTAGTAGTACGGACTTTTTTTTTTCTTCCATGGGAATAGTGCTGGGGGACGAGGACGACCAGAATGAAAGAGAATAATCCTGCCTGAAAAATTATAACTTCATTCACATTATTTAATTGCTTCTTATTTTAGAATTAAGATGCATTGGAAAATGTCTTAGAATGTGTACTTTTCATTACAAATGATTAATGACTAATGTTTCGATATATTAAGATTTATTAGTGTTAATCTCCTTTAATATATGTTTTTTTTCTTCTGTCAACTATTACAGTTTATGATGACATATATTATTATTGATACATTTTAGCTAAATTCTTACAATCAAATTTAAGTTAAATAATAAACCTGAGTCACATATCACGGCTACTGCACCTGGATATCCCGTTTCCGTTACTTTCCCTTGTCTATTTTCTTAAATGGAAAAAATCCGTTCAACACGTTCATTGATTTTTCAATATTTTCAGTCGCGCCATAGTCATAGAATCTGTAGCAAAAACAGAAAAAGTCGGAGAGACTAATAAAGTAGAACCTAATATTTTCTCATAAAGATCCAGGGAGTGAAAATTATGAATCACAGATAAAAGTAAATACATATCTTGAATTTAGAAATTTGTTAATCACTATTTGGGATGAAAAATAAGAAACAGATGGAGACCTTAGCCATATTTGGTAGCCTTTCACATTGTTTCCCATGTCAGCTTTGTCGAGTTAACACATGAAAGAAGTAATTCACTCGGAGTTTGTTGCTATTTTATTTTTAAATTCCGTTTATAGAAATCTCGTTGTAATAATATAGACTCTTTATTTTTTTTATTTTATTTGGTGATAATTGCCAATCTAACTCTCTATTGTACATCAATGGAAAAAAAGTATATATCAATTACACTTTGGTGTACAAAATGTTTATCATCGTTTTAATATTGTCACACAATTCAAGAGATAAGCATAATTTAAAAATAAAAAAAATACAACACTTCTTCTAATTTCCCTAAAATGTATGTATGTATGTTTCCTTAATTTTCATTAATCTAGTTGTTACTCTCGCTCACTGAAGTGTTGAGGATATTGCGAGTGACCCATTAATTATTGTCAGTCCATTGAACAAATAGAAGAAGAAAAAAAATCATTCATGAAAATTGTAATGCAGCCACGATAAGAGTGTCTTTGATTTCCCATTCATTCACGTTCAAGGAACTTTCTCACTTTCGCAAAAAACGCAAAAAGAAGAGTGATGGATTCACATTCTATTGAATTTAACCAAAAAAAACAAGCACAGACTAAAAGACCTATCCCCATTGAACTAGTGAGGAACAATAACCATACTCCAACTTTAATGAAGTTTTGGTTATTTACAAAATGTGTTATAAATATTTGTTTTCGTAAAATGTTCATGATTTACATATAATTTAGGTCTCCATAAATTATTTTTTATTTTAGCTTTAATCCTTATATTTTTAAAAATCTAGTTTTTGATCTTTGAAAGTTTTATTTGATTAGGTTTAATCTTGATAATTTGTTTTTATTTACATTTTGGTCTTTATAATTTTTTAGATATTGGCTTTGCAAATATCCTTTAAAGATATGTAGGAATGAGTTGGAATAAGTTGTTTATTGTTATTACTGAATAAAATAATTGTTTTAGATTGTTTATTTGAACTCAAAATGTTTCAATCAAAATTCAAAATATATGAAGTGAGATTTGGTCAATTTGATATTTTAACATAATGTACTAATTGTATTATAATAACATTATGTATAGTTAAATTAATTATAAAATAAAAGAGACATAGAACCTAAATTAATATATTTTTGATAATATATGTTAAAATAAATATTGTCATATTATACAAAATATTATATATTAAAAATTATTATTATTACATAATTGTTCCACAAATTTATACTTTTTTAAAAAAAATATATATAAGATATTGAGATCACTTGAAATATAACTCCTAACTCATCTTAAATATTAAATCGGATATAATTTTAAAACTCAAATATGTCCAAATCAACAATAAATCAAAATAAAAACAAGATAAAACAATAAAGATCAAAATTTAAAATTTCAAAGTATAATAATCAAAATGAAAATGAAATGAACTATAGGAAAAAAAATATAATTGTGATTTTTTATTACATAAATATAATTGTTTAAAATCAATTTTAGCAATCTCACAAACATACATATAATTATTTTTAGTTGTGGATGGAATAATTTTTTTGACCCATATATATTGTTTATGTTATAAATATATTTTGAATAGGGTGAGTGTTTGGGTCAAAATTAATCTACGGACCAACCTGTTAAGACGGAATCAGAATGTTTTTTAAAAAAAATCTATATTCTCATGGTACTCCTAAACTAATTTTATTTATTTGTGGATTTCGCATATCAAGCATAAGAAAAAAAAATTGGCTATTTATTTGGTAAATCAAACTTATCCAACCTATTAAAATATTCGAATTTCACAAACCAAACCTTAAACAAGCTAATCCTACCTAATATTAAATATTGTTAGAGTTATTATGTTAAATATATGACTTCTCTTAAAATTAATATTGTTAGTTATTATGTTAAATATATGATTTCTCTTAAAATTGATTTATATAGAGAGTTTCGGGTCTTTCTCACTATACCTGTAATATTTTTCGTGCTTGAATATACCATCTGAGACATAATTCATCGGTGTTTAAACTTTAAATACTTATAATGATAAATAGTTTATTATAAAAATGAACATTCTTGGGATGTTAGATGTGAACAAGAGAGACCGTTAAAATAAATAAAAAAACTTCCTCTTTCATGGCTGTTGATATTTAAGATTAATATAGAGAAATGAGAAATTAGTTATTTGATATATATTTGAAGTAAAATATTTATTTAATTTCATTATTCAATTAAAGATTACATGATTTTTCACTTTTTCCCCCATCCTATCCTCTAATGAATTAATCTTACAAAAAGAAAATGTTATTAACACGATAATAATTTTCATATTTAAAAAAAATGTATTTAAAAGGTATTAATAACATTTGATTTTTGTATGATTAATACATTAGATGAGAGGATCAAATTAGTCGGGAAAATACATGAAAAATTGTAAAATTAACTAAATATAGTTGAAAAAGTATTAATTAAAACATTAATAGTTTTAAATTGATTAAGTTGAAAAATAATCTTATTTTAAATAAGCACATGAAAACTGTAGTTGAAAAATATTAACTAAATTAACAATTTCTAAAAAAATTATTAATTTAGAAGAAAAAAATTCACTAAAAGTAAATTTCTTAATTGTATGAAAGCAATAATATAGGTGATGAATATTTTACATGTATAACATACAAAATTTGTAATGATTTAAAAAAATAAAAATAAAAAACTAAAATAATGGAAGGAGTTAGTAAGATGTAAAGACAATTTAGGAGTTGAAACTTTAGAAAAGTAGTGTCTGTAGAAGGAAGAAGATTAACATGCAAAAGTAAGTGGAATAAATTCAACGGATATAGATTCAGCAAAGTGATGCGATCGAAGCGTTCACCGCATTCAGCGCTCCACGTATCACGCCGTGCATTTGCCGTACATTCGGGGGACGCCGTTGAGTCTTCCGTCATTCTAATGTCCCACCCACGTACTACTCAACGGAACGGAGAACAAAGGACACTTCTATTTTTTATTATTTTTTTTAAAGGACATGGTTCATGCATTTATGTATAGTCTAAAATTAATAATAAAAAAACTAATCTATATTCAAAATTTAATATTCTTGAACTGTGTTTACTCTTGTGACTCCCACCTTCTTAAAGGGTTTGAGGCGTGACTTTGTTAAATTATTCGATCGTATTATTATCTACCAAATCAGCCACATCTGCCACGTATAGTGAGTATAATTAAACCGTAGTTCAACAACTACGTAGGTGCACACACCATTATTTGTTGACTCACTAAATGCTAATCCATAACGGTGTTATCTAATATTTGACTTCACCATATAACAGGTACCATAAATTAGTACGTAGGTCTTGCATTATTAAGGTATATTGTTTTTGGATTAATTAGAGGCTTGTTTCTTGGCATAAGTGAAGTGATGGACGTGGAAAACAAAGAAAAAGGGACAAGTGAAATACGTGCTGCTGGCGTTTTTCCTACTACTACCTACCAAACTAACAACACATCCACTTTCTTCTCAGCTACGGATTGTGCACCTGTGAACCTGTTTATTATTTCACCTAATATTATTAAAGGTCTTCCAATAATGCCTATTGCAATTTTCACAACTTTATAGTAAGAGTTTTATTCTGTTATATATGATTCAAGCACCGGAAAAATTAACTAATTTGCCACAGGACTATAACAAGCATATAGATTTTGGGGTTTAAATTAGGATGTAGAATGATAAATGGTTTAGTACTAATAATTGAAAGACGTCATTATGGTTATTATCTTTCCTTTAGTGAAAAGTTTCAATGATATGGTGGTAGGTAATTCAGTTGGCACTGACAATTAACAGATGCCAAGGTAACCAATGATTAAAAGGCATTCTTTGCCCAATTTATGTGAGAGACCAATTGCAAAACCATTCCTTGAAATTTTGATATGGCCAATTGCATTCATTTATGAAAATTT